AAACTGAACGCTCGCTTTTACCACGCACCTACGAACACAAACTGTATGTGCATCGTGACTAGAAACTATCGCAAGTGGCCGCTCACAGATACTTACGAGCAATTAGTTCAATTTTGCGGACGTTCAGACAATCACCGACGTCAGAAACAAGCTGAGCCAAAAATTGCTTGTGGCCTGATGGTCAGACGGCAATCTTATAAAACGCCGAATCGAAATGGCACCGGCGCATGAAACCCTGCGCATTGACTTCCAGACTAGCGGCATTGACCATTGGTTAACTCGAACCCCCATATATGAGCGGTCTTCTTCAGCTGCTACCACTGCTATATCTGATTATGGACTTCCGCAGAACTTTAACGCCTCTGGATAATTAACCAAGCTTTCCAGTGCCCGAACGAGGATAACAAAGGGCACATCAACATAAATGTTTGCCGACAAGTGGAACTCAAAAAGGGGGGAGGGAGAGACCGAAGCTTTACTTAATCAGAACACCACAAGCGAAGCATAACTGACTCACTCGCCCACTGACTACTGCCCAGCTCAAAGTCGTTTTCCTTCACGGATCGGTCGAACTAAAAGCATGGCCAATCCACATGGGAGTATACGAACGACTGGCCGCACAACCTATCTCACTCAATGGTCACTGTAAATGTCGCTAAGGTGACAATACCATTGCCGTCTATAACTACGGTCTACTTCCAGAATGCTTCTACGAAATCCGGAGACAGAAAGACAGACAGGCGAATGAATTTGAAGTGAAGGAGTTGGGGGTCTCGACGCGCAATATAACGAAGAGTGACCACACTTCAGATCTCATACAGTGACTACACCAGAGTTAATTAAAATCGCTGCAAAGAAGTATGCCTGATGGGCCAAACAGACAGTGGGGTGAATGTACTATATAACATAGGCCCAGATGTTGTCAACCATCCGCCAGTAGGAGTATGTCGTGGGACCGCCTGATTGCGGCGCGAAGTGCGCCCCTTGGTCTTACGAGCACCTGGTTTTAGGGGATAAGATGGTCGGGATATGGCAGGGAACAAATGAGTTCGCAATAATCCTGAAAAAAATAAAGTTACGAGGATAAAATGGAAGATTTGCCCTGGCCCGGGGTGAGGGCACTAAAGGACATTGTAACATCATTGCTAATCGGTACTGGACCAACAGCGAGTGCGTGTATGTCGGGAGGAAGGGGGTGTCCGGTGACCTCGGGCGAGGTCACTGAGGTACATTTTAATAGTGTGGCTAACCCCAAGTAGAATAATCGCGAATGAGTGAAGAGGTCAGGAGATTTTGGGAATTCCCCCTACTTAAAATTTGTAAGTAATTAGTTATTCACATGGTTAATCTGAAAGGCCATTTTACTTAATATACTGACTTAAGCGGCTGTTGTACATGGTGGCCTTCCGAGAGCCTCTCCTCTCCTCAATATCATAATCTAATCCGTACTGGAACAACGAATGGCGTGCTAGAAACTGGAACATTGTGGAAAATTCAACCTATTTAAAATTTGTAAGCAGGTGGGTATAATACACAAGTACCCTTATGAAGCCCCAGTGCATACTCTTACCCGTCCACTTTCTATAATTTCAGAAGGCTCTAGGCAAATTCTAGGTACATTCCATTTAAATAGGGTGACCGAGTCGAAACCAAATAAACGACACAACTTACTGCACGCCGGATAACAGCAGCCTCGTTATTCCTGTCTTACGCAAAAAGGTTAAAATGTCATGCGCGTGCACATAGTATTAGTAGGAGGAATGTCCGAGGATTTTGTGCATAGGAGGTTATAAATCATAAAGCCAGTGAGAGCAGACTGTTGCCCATCTGCAGCATCGATCCTATGGCAGTAAAGGCACTTAATTCCCGGAAATGAACCCTTCGCCTTGTGAGAGAAAGTGAAGTTGGGAATTTATGCAGAATCAGTGTGTGTTCTGTACAAGTAAACCAAAATAAGTGAAAGAAATAAAGTCATCTGGTGAGGAGTTCATAACCATTGGCAGTTATCAAAACCATGTCTTCAAACTGTGCGGTCAAAGCATAGTCAGATGTGCATACAGACCAGCCATTTGATTGGG